CCTTGCCAAACAACAAAAGCAAACTTGACGCGCTCGCTGTACTCGTCGTTTCCTAGCTTCATGCGCACATAGGCGTATGCTGCTTCGTCGTCGCCAAGACTCTCCGTCATCTCGGCAATGTCGCCGCTTCCTGTGCCGGCGAGTTTGAGGTTATCTGAAGTCGCGGATGCATACTAAGGATGGTCAGCCGTCAGATCCCTCACGTTTTTTTTACTTGACGCCTTCGATCACGTCTCGGTGAACAAAACCGTTCGGGCGCATTATCGGATGTACCTTCAAGATAAGCCACGTGGTCTCGGATTTGTCAGAGCGCACGTCTTCGTATGCTTGCGCGATTTCAGGATCGCTCAGGATATCGGCTGCTGAAGGCATGATTGGGGGAGGCTTTTGCTATCGCGGGTTATGCAAAGGCGATAGCAGGGGTAGGACAACTTGGAAGGGGAGTTTTGAGGAAGTTGGGATGGGGATTCGGGGTTCAGCGATGCCGCCGCACTAGCCTCAACTAGTGCAGGGCTAGGCCACTCAAGGAGCCGCGAAGGGCCAATGGGATCGGGGAGGGTGTGGGTCTAGAATCTCGAGTTTCTGGTGGGCGCGATACCTCCTTTCTGCTCACATCCTCTGTCGATTGCGCACGTATCGCGGCTCTGATTTGGATCACTGTTGAGACTGGACCGCATTTTACTTTTGGCTAACTTCACGAGATAGCCTGTTGACACTTCAACCGCTGTGTGAGACGAGTGTCCTCAACAGATTAAAAGAAGCGTGGAAGCAGATGCTACCCACTCCCGTATTGAAAGCAGTCTTGCTATTACGTTTCACAGCTTTCACTTGCATAACTCAGAGTAGTTATAGAACTAAGGAATTTGTATTTCGACACAGCTAACACTTTTATCTATCAGCTACCTACACCTGACACCACAGACCAACTCTATTGTCCAGATCTGGGGCCTTCGGTCTCGAGAGTGGCACCGGGGAAGTTGATGCCATAGTCAAACATACTCCTGCCCGCCGGCACGCCCTGGCATCCGCCGCCTAGATCCTTAAGCGGCTGCAGCGCCGGCCCAAGACGACTGTCAACAGCAGCCAAAGCAGCAGTCAGAGCAGCACCTCCAAGAAGCTTGCTCAAGAAAGACGGGGTATCCGCCTGCACAGCCTGCGCAATGAAGCAGCCCATCTTCTTGGGGTCGTTCAAGTCCTCTGCGAAGTTGATAAAACCGCCAGTAATGTCACCAAGGTTGACGCCCGAGAAACTGTTTACGGCGCCCGTGTTGCCACCGACCTGGCAGTTCAACGGGTACGCGGCACATTGCTGTGCGGTCGAGACACCAATGTCTGCAAGCGTCCATGGGTCGAGCGGGTGGCGCTTGTACCAGTTGTCTGGGATACGCTCATAGCCGTACTTGTATGTCAACGCACCGCTGGCGTCGCGCTTGTAGCTGAAGAAGTCCATGAATACATCTTGCGTCAGGAACCCACGGGGAGCCTCAGCGCTGTGGTTCGCAAGCAAATGGTACGCGAACATGTGTGCGCCAAAGGTGAATGCAACACCAGCGTACGCGGGACTGAAGTAGAATGGGTTGGTAGCGATGCTGTGCTTTTTGCGGTTGTTGGAGTGCTCGGCGAGGACGCGGGGTGTGATTAGACCTCCTGCACGCTGGTTGGAGAGGTCAAAGAGCTCTTGCATGTATTGCGGGTAGGAGCGGCAGTTGGAGTTCATCTCAGGTGCGAGCCAATCGCCACGGGTGATACTGGCATCGCCCTCACTTCTTAGATGGCCGTATGCGCAGATTCCTGTTTCGTTGCCAAGGAGGTCACCGACCAGTGGAGGAAGAGAACTGGTCTTGTCTGAATGAGGACCGATGCTCCAGCGGCCGGAGATGGGGTCGCCGTTGAAGAAGGCCGTTGCGGTCTCGAGGAAGATGGTGGCTGTCTTGTCGAGGCCGAAAGCTTGCCAAAGACCGGTGTTGATGCTTGCTGCATCGACGACACCGTCGCGCTGGATGTAGCCGTGGTTTGCGGCGGCGTTGAGGCCGGCACAAGGACCGCGGATGTCTCCTTTGCCTGGGGCGCGCCACTCGTGCTCGCCAGATGTGTTGACGAGTTGGAGGGCAGGGTCGAATTGGTTGAAGAGAGCATGGTTGGGTGTGCCTGGGTATTCTGGGAATTCGATAATTTGTGGCGTTGTTTGACGCTCTTGGATGCGCTTCTCAGCGACCATACGAGCTATCTCGGGGAAAGCTGAGACCAGCAGAGCTGGCCCGGTAAGGAGCACGAGGGACGTCTTCGCAAACATTGTGTAATGCAGTGATGGAGGGTGAAGAGATGCTGACGATAGTGAGCAGATCTCGTCTATCTTATATTTCTTTGCATCCACGGCTGCAGACTAGCGTAAGTTCCCCACTGTGGAGTTAAGGGTCATTCCCAACGCTCCTCATAGCCGGTGTCTTCGGTCTCGAACGAATTCGAGTATCTTCTCATGGTTGATCCGCTAGTACATGGACTACTTTGTCAGTGTGCAGCCAACAGTCTCGGTGGCGACCATAATCCATTGTCTGGGGTAGTCGAACAACCGTCCCAAGACAGTAATCGCCCACGTCGATCTGCAAGGCTCACATGGCTGGGGTATAGTCGCCAAGACTGGAGCTACGAGCGGCAATGCGCTATTGAAGGACAACGGATGCCATTCCGTGATCAGCAGTATAGTCAGACCCTGAGTTGGCTGCGAAAGAAGTCCAGGAATGACAGAGTGCCCTTCGAGACCCTCTCGTTTGCCTAGTTATCCCGATGTAGTAGTGAAAAGGCCCTAGACGAGGAGGTGCTGGGAATTTGCAGTGTTCTCTTGAGAGGCGACTGGGGATAGATCCAAGTTAGAGCAGTACCACGGCGAGTGATGACTGTTGCGGGGAGTGTAAGTGAAGTTGGGAAGATCCTCTAGTAGTCTCCAACAGCTTTCAGTTTCTCTTGACGTCGATCACAAAAGTCTTCTTCACGAGAAATGAATTGGAGGATGCATCATCCGATGGGAAACAATTCAGTTTGCTACATCGGGTAGTTCCCGCGCGGTGCAACCCAGCAATGATGGATGTCATCCACGACATGCCGCTAGCCAACTTCTTTTTTGTTATTACCGTCCGCTTGTCCGGAGCCTGGAGATGACTTTAGTTCTTTTTTTGATGAAAAAATATTCATTGTTGGCACGCCAAAAGTGGCACTTGGCGGACAGACCCCGTGGAACTCCGCAAACTGCCTGTCAAGATGTGAATAGACTCCAAGACGCAAGTCCGTTTGACCCACTGGCAACATGCGCTATAGACGGAAGGCACCGTGTGAATCTGATCAAGATGACGGAGCGGCGTGGCGTCCAGCGCAAGTGTAGAGATAAGCTCGACGAAATCGTTGTTTAGCGCGACGCTAGCGGAAACTACCCCGGGTCTCGTTCATTCCGTGGTTCAGATCGACCGTCAAATTGCCCGGCTGGTGCTTGGGAAGATCCACGACTGGCACTTCTGACATACGAGAACCATGCTATTGGCTCATAGTCCCAGCAACAGCGCCCTGTGCCGGCGACCCTTACATGGCGTCGCCGTCTTCTCCAGATAATGAGTAATTAGTAATCTACCTAGGTAGTTTTCAGGGGAAAGTGTACCGGATAACCCTCAGTTGCCGAACAACTACCGAAGAAGATCTCGCCAATCAGTGGTCTTGCTTACTGCTCACCAGTAGCCATGAGTTCATCAGTGAGTTGTCTTGCATCGACCACTCGATAACCAGTCCATTTGGGGAAGTTTGTCGCGTCGCAGTGCAGTCATTTTGGCATTCCCATACGACCGAGTTCCATAGGTAGAGAAGCACTTTCTCCAACCTCGTCTCTCGATAGGACGAACTTCGCAACATCCGGCAAGAGCACGAGGCGCAAACTATGCGATGAGAAGGTTCGTCCACACCCACAGTCTGGGCAACTTGATGCGCGCAAGGCTTGTAAGTGCCGTCAGCCTCGCCACCATACAGGCCTCTTACTCTTGGAAGACTCAGTCGTCACTACCCACGCATCCTCCACCAATCTCAAATACTACAAAGTGTAAACGGCACTAAGTCTTGGCAAGATGTTCGGTCCCTAATAACAGTCACCCAAAGAGACATCAGCACCAAGTGTTCGGCAGTGTATGCAGTCTATCGCCGTTGCTTGTACGTCCGTAAGACTCCCGAGGCTATGAAGCCATCCCCGCATATCTTCTCAGTACTACTACGGCAAGAACCTCGGGAACTTCGCCGAATCTTCTCCTATGTTTACAGGACACGGAAAGGCTTTTCGTGATGCGAGCCTTTGGGAAACGTCTTTGGGATTTACTCAGTGATATTAGTTGGCAGCTTCCTGGTCTTGATGTAGTCGATTCAGTGGTGTCTGACGGGGAGGTGGCTGACTAGCTCGGTGCCCATGTAGGTCCACCTGCATCAGTGATGATGGGGGGGTTGATGCCAGTTCGTTGGGCGTCAAAGAACAAGCAGAAAGAGCGAGTGTGACACGATCGGTGTAGACTCTCATTCTTTGATGCGCCACTTGCAACTACTCTAGTTTGTTAAATGTGCTGGTTTTAGATCGCAGGCATGACGCGGCTGAGCACCTCCTAAATAATCGCAATGCAAATGTATTTCCCATACACCATTGTTCACATTATGTAGCAGTATACTGCTGCTTGCAACTACATGAACATGTTCGCCTTGGCCTTCGTTTAATTCATAGGTCACACGGCTTCCGGATGTTTACGGTCTGGGCCGCTCAGTGCAGCATGCAAAGTCACCCTTAAACTGATTCAACATGTCACTATGTTGACATACGTGGTTCTGAATTAGCAAGCAGACAAGAAGTTTGTGTAAGATCTTATGTTTGCTACCCTCTTCGACTTTAAGATAAGATGGCTCGTCACTGAGGAGATCGTGCCTGTCGCACCACCATTATGGCAGACACGACGATACGAAACACCGCGCACCTAATCGCCAATATGAACAATGGTATCATGGTAGGCCAGAACTTCGGAAATATCAACCATGAGTCCGGATGCCATACCGATGAGCAGCGATTCGACAAATGTACCAAAGCGCTCTGGGTAACAGACCCTGATATCGACCGCGATTATGTCGTGAACACCAAGGGTAGCCCCGTTTCTGGCACATGCGACTGGATCTGGCAAGACCGCACTTTCTCGGATTGGTTGAATGGGTCATCACCCAGAACACTATGGATCGCAGGTGGACCTGGAAAAGGCAAAACAATGATTTCGGTTCATGTCACCGGCTTGCTCGAGGAACGATGCAATGTTCACAATCAAGTCTTTGCATACTTCTTCTGCGACCATCGGGATACGAATCGCAATTCTGCATGTGCAATCCTCCGCACTCTGATATATCAAATCATCGAGCAAAAACGAAGTCTGCACAGCAAGATCTTCCCTTACTTTCAGGAGGATCGGAGAGCGATGGCTACGATACAGTCGCGCGATGCCCTTTGGCGGATCGTGACCGAGCTACTGCACGAGGAGGAGCTTGGAAGTCTGGTGTATTGGATCGACGGGCTTGACGAGTGCGATGACGACACAGCTCGTTGGATGGCACAGGAGTTGTCCAGCCTTCATACCGACAGCTCCGGCAATGTTTTGAGAGACGTGAAGGTTTTGGTTGCGAGTCGTAATATCGCAAGCATGAAATTTTCGTCCAAGATCGACCTAGACACCATACAAAACCCGGGCTACAACGAGAGCATCACCAGATTCATCGATACGCGAGTAGCTGATATGGCAGATCAGGTGCCGGGCTGCACACTAGCGCTCCAGAATCAAGTCAAAGAAAGCCTGCAGTCACGCTCGGGTAATTCGTTTCTTTGGATTGGTTGCGTAATGGGCGAACTTTCGGTCAAGGAGACGCCTACGGAGATCGAGAGTTCGCTAGCCGAGTTTCCTACCGGACTTTGCCCGCTCTACAACCGACTTCTTCACCAAGTACGCTCAAAACCGCAGTATCGCTCAGATTGTATCAAGCTGCTGCATTGGGTAGCACAAGCGATGAGACCGATGAGCTTGGCTGAGCTAGCAGCGGTGCTGGACATCGATGGGTCCGATACCATATCAGTAGAGCAAAGACTCAGTGATCGTATCACATGGTGCAAGTCTTTGCTTATCGTCAGACATGTCGCTGACACTATTCAAGCGCCTACGGTCGATTTGGTCCACTACTCATTGAAGGAACATCTGTTTGAGTCGAGCGGGGGGGATAACGCTGCCGACATTCAGCCCTTTTTCTGTCAAGCAGATGCAATACACCACCAAATCGCGCTTACGTGCCTGGATTATCTCTACAATAATCTCTCTAATGAAGAGTATTGGTTCTACGATGATGGAGCTATGAATGCGCGACTTCCGCTAGTATCATACGCCACGGTATACTGGCCAAACCATGCGAGGCTCATCGGAAAAGACCTGGCTATGGATCTCTTGGACAGCAGAATCGATACCTTCTTCAAAGAAGGTGGCATGGCATATACCAGCTGGTGGTGGTCATTCCGAATGGCAACGAGCCCTTCGTTGAAACAGGAACTGCCTGTTAAGTTCGCTGATCCCGAAATAGCCCCCTACAGCAAGGAGCTAGAAACCGTCCCTCCAATGCATCTTTCGGCAGCTCTAGGCGTGCTGCCATGGATGGTGTCCTTTTCTACCGTTCCAGATATGCCACGTTCCGATGTCGTGAACCTCTTAGGTCTACGAGGGCAATCACCACTAAATCACGCTACCCAGAGAGGTCACAAAGACGCGATCGCTTGGCTGTGTGATCAGGGCGCAACCATAGACGATAAATCAGTCTTTACCGCTGCCGCTGAGGGTCATACTAGCGTCCTCAAGTATCTCCTTGATCGTGGAGGTAGCCCAAACGTCAGAGCATGCAATATCTGGACTGGAAAAAGCGAAGAAGAAACAGCACTCTGGGATGCGTGTGGTCAAGGTCTCGAAGACGTTGTGCATGTCCTACTAGATGCCGGAGCTGATACAGATGCACTCAGTCTACCATCATGCTTGTATGAGGCTTTCGGAGTTCCTACGCCTGCCTTCGTTGCAGCCTGCTTTGGAGGCAGTCTGAAGCTTGTAGAGACCTTGTTATCCCGAACCAAAGACCTGCATCTTTACCTGGATTACGGCTTAGAATACGCGATTGGGTATGGCCATGAAGATGTGATTCGGTTTCTCCTACCAAGAATTAGCACGGTTGGTCATCAAAGCGAGCGAGAAAAGAGGTTCCTGTATTTTGCCCTAGCCTCTAACGTGTCTTCATCGATCGTCGAGCTCTTATTGGATTCTTTCCGTTCGAGCGCAGACTTGGTGGTTCGCTTGCACAACGATGGATCATCCTCGAGAATGATCGAATTGGCATTCCTTCTCAAGAGCCACGAGACTCTGCAGATGTTGCTGAAGAGGGGTGCCATGCCGACGACTAAGATGCTGCGCATTGCTACCGAGACAGACGACGCAAGCCTTCTCGAACTCTTCCTGCAACGAGATGTTGACATGAGCATGTCTCTTCATATTGCGGCCAAGCACGGTTCTCTTCAAGCTGCGAAGTTGCTGGTCGCAAAAGGAGTAGCGATCAATGGTACTAATGGACAAAAGAAGACACCACTCATCATCGCGGCTGAAAATGGCTTTGCAAAGGTTGTGGAGATGCTTCTCGAGAACGGAGCCAGCTCCAAGACCAAGGATAAGGGGGGCAAGAATGCCCGCATGAGAGCTGAAGCAGGAGGCCATGCAGGTGTGGTTCAGGTCATCGATGACTGGGCTCTCAGGGCGAAGAAGTAACGTATTCGCCGTGTCGCTTTCGGTCAAAACACTCCAAATATGTGTTCTGATATCATTACCTTCTTCTAGGCGTATTACTTGAATGAAGAATCCATCTACCAACGGTGAACATGTGATGATGTTACAGTTTGCTAGAACCATGTGATGGTCAGCGCTGAGATATATAACCAGAAGAATCACAACCTTGCGCTCCTGCGGTATCAATCGTCTTAGCATATCCCAGCATGGCAGAAGCAGCTGGACTTACACTTGGTGCTCTCGGCATCGCTGCACTCTTCAACAACGCCCTTGAATGCTTTCAGTACGTTCGTGTAGCCAAAGACTTTGGCCAAGACTTCGAGACATACCGGATCAGGCTCCATTTATCTGAGATTCGGCTCTCTCATTGGGGCAGTGTCGTCGGTATTACAGACACGGACGCTGAAACCCCTCTCCGTTTCTCTCCGGACGAGCAAGAAGTTGCGCAACGGGTGCTTGAGCATATCGTCAAGCTGTTCCAAGCAACAGAGGTGAAAGCCAAAGATTTTGAGAGAAGAGCATCAGAGCCCGAAACTAGCGATCGTATGAGGAAGCTGTGTGATAAGATGAATAAGCTGGCTTTGGGCAGAATGAACAAAGCATCCAAGGTGAAGGACGGTCTGTACGCGAAGACGAAATGGGCGCTGTTCTCTCGTGAAGGTCTCATCAAGCTCGTTGAGTCTGTTTCCAGCCTAGTCAACGAGCTCATAGCCGCTTTTCCAGATGATATAAAGAAGAATAGGAAGCAATTGTGTGACGAAGACGTGGAGGAGCTTGTTGCGAATGAACCAGAACTCTCAACCTTGTTGAAGGACGCTTTAGGCGAGGATGATGAACAGATGAAAGGCGCATTGCAAAAGGCTGTTGCTGCGACACATCAAAATACCACTACGTTCTCTGGTTCTGGTGAGAACAAAGGGCTGCAACTAGGTCAGAATTATGGTACGATGACGAACACCTTTGGTAGTTAAGGAGGGAAAGAAGGTTAGGAAATGCCATGTCGTTTGTCAAATATTGCCATTTGAGCATAGCTGGGTTGGTGTTGTCGCTGTGAAAGTCTCGAGCGCGTCAGGTGCGTTGATGGGGTTCTCTCTCGGCATGACGTCGCGTGCCATCGGAACTGAGCCCCACAACGTTCCGAGAAATTTTGGCTTTCACCAGTCATCACTCCAATGCCCACTCGCCATCCCCGCATACCAAATGTCAAACCCACGGATCTATCAATTCACTTCGCTCCCATACGTTATTTGGTGCAAGTCGCTGCATCAGTGCCCTGCCGCGCCCCGATTACCACGCTGAGAAGACCGATTACCTTCTCCACACCCGCCGCCTCCAAACTCTACAAGCCGATAACTGCGAACGCCGCGACTAAACACGATAGCTCTGTCGCAAAGATGCCTGAGACTAGCGTTCGGCGCGTAGATCCTCAGAAACTGGGAAAAATCACGTTCAAGAAGTCAGAGGATTTAATCGATGAATGGGACATAGAATACGACGATACAGAGGGCGAGGCTAATGCCGGAACACTAAAGCAAGCAGCGGAAGAGCTTGTGAATACGAACATCCCGGTCGCCTTTCCAACAGAGACCGTATACGGACTTGGCGCGGATGCGACAAGAAGCGCGGCCGTGAAGGAGATCTTCGCGAGCAAAGGACGACCAGCCGACAACCCTTTGATCGTTCATATACACTCTTTACCTCAGCTACGATCGCTGCTTCTGGGGAAACTAGACGTAGTAGGAGACGGGAAGGATGCTGGGAAGGATCCCATACCAGATATCTACAGGCCGGTGATTGAGCGCTTCTGGCCCGGGCCGCTCACCATCATCCTACCGGCTCCGGAGAATTCGATCCTCGCGCCAGAGGTCACGGCAGGCCTTCCGACTTTTGGCGCACGAATGCCGCGTTCTATCATCGCCTTGTCTTTGTTACGGCTATGCGGTCGCCCACTCGCCGCACCATCCGCAAATGCGTCCACACGACCTTCGCCCACCGCTGCGGAACACGTTTACGACGACTTGAACGGCAAGCTAAATCTGATAATCGATGGCGGGCCATGCGAAGTGGGAGTTGAAAGCACAGTCATAGACGGACTATCGAGCCCACCTGCGATACTACGACCTGGTGGTGTCACAGTGGAACAGTTACGGCAATGCCCGGGATGGGAGAACGTAGTTGTTGGTTACAAGGATAAGCAAGCGGAAGATTCGAGTAAACCACGCGCGCCCGGGATGAAGTACAGACACTATAGTCCGAAGGCATCGGTTCTTCTGTTCGAGGCAGGCGCGAGCCAACCTACATCGGACGAGCTGAAGAGCAAGAGGCGCATTGGTGTCATTCGGACCAAGAGTTGGGATAGAGTGTTAGGTTTGGGTGCCGAGAAGGTGAAGACATCGGATACGAATGGACCAGGAATTTGCGCTTCACCGGACATGGCCGCATCTCTAGATGCCAACGACTCGCCGTCGCGCCTTTCGAACCTTCTACGATCTGTCACCCAGCACCAAATACCGCACGCCGACCACTACATTGTGAAGCCCGAGGCAGTCCAGGTTTGGGAGATCAACCTTGGTGCGAAGACCGAGGATGTTGCCAGAGGCCTATTTTCAGCACTAAGAGAGCTCGACAAGAAAGGCGTCGAGGTCATATATGTGGAGGGTATCGACGATAAGACAGGTGACGATATTGCCGCTGCGGTCATGAACAGACTCAGAAAAGCGGCAGAAATCAGGATATGAATGGAGGATGCACATGGCGCGCATTTCGACTGAATGGGAATACTTCCATTTACACAACCTTCACGTTCGCCTGCTGATTGCTGGATGCCAATTTTCGATCATACAACACTAATTTGACACGTCGATGGACAACTCAGTGATGCATTTGGCGAGCGTGGATGTTCGTTGGCGATAAAACGACTCCCTCACACCTCTCCCTCCGCGACATGTACCGATCCTCTCAACGTTTTGCCAGTATATTAGCGCCACTATCATGTCCACTAGTAATATGTATCTCGGCCTTATTGCACTGCTCGTGAGCTGTGCTCTGGGAACTCCCCATGATGGGATCAACAGTCAAACATCTACGGCGACCGATCAGCTGCCCCCAACAGGCAGTTCTACCACGCATGTTAAGGTTACTGCAACGACCACAACCACTCCTCCTTACGTGCCACCTCGTGAGACTGGCAATTATACCTCCGGCTTCGCCACCCCTCCACCTCCAGGCTCAGTGACGGCACCGTCCGATCGACCTGACTACAGTAAACCCACTAGCACAGCTGTTACACTGATATGCCCCCATCCGACTGAACCATGCATTATCGACGGTATTCCCATATGGCCATCTGGCACTACCTCTCTTGTGTTACCGTCCTTTACATATGATCCTTTGCCGACCTCCATGGCTTCTGGATCTCTTCCAGGTGCAGATAGTACGGTGGTGACTGACACACTCGCCACGTCTGCCAGCCCAACCAGTCCGATGGGGAAGAGTACTACTTGCTCCCACACTATGTCGCACATTGTACCTGGCAATTCCAGCACCGATCTGCCTTGGACACCTGTGTTACCTTGGATAACGCGCTGGGAAACCTTGAGCATACCGTCAGAAAGCCTCCCTACTTTCTCGGTATTGAGCAGTGCCGCATCTGGAATACCAGCGACACCATTGGCAATACCGGTTACCTCTGGGTCAGAGACTTCCGAATTCTACTGGCCCACAAGGAGCAGCTTGGATCCCAGTAGCTCAGCCACTTCGTCTATCACGAGCATCGGCGAGGAGTCAACGGCATCAATCTCCTCACCCAACGTAAGTACTACGGCCTCGGCAATAGCAACCCCCCTCTACATCTTCTGCTATATCAGCTCACCCACGTTGCAAGGCTAAGTTCACACAGTCTTCCGATGCGAAACCACCCGTGAAAGCTCGAGACACGGAAACAAAGGCGAGTAACATTAGCAGTTCTTCCATCCTCACTCTGAAGACCAGGGACATCATCGACGCATCACTGTTCAGAGGTATGGATAACGCAACACCTCCTGCGCGACGAGACGAAGAGAGCAAGGCGACAAAAAGGCGAATAAACTACTGGACTCGCTTCTTCGCTGTTGCAGAACCTGGAGGACGGTCGGTGAAACAGTGTTTGGCCTGTGATCAAGAGGGAGAGGTTACTTGCTTGCCTGTCGGAAAGTATACGTGGTGCACGGATGGGTGTGCTGTGACGCTGAACTTGGGTTGTGATATGGTCTGCAAAGAGGGTGTCATACGCAAGGAAGGAAAGCATTGCGTACGATGAGGGTATTCGTAGATATGATTTTGTATTGTGTCAACGATATCCGTACTTCTTCGGAAGCAGCAAAAGTCTTGCACGTGTCTACATCCATACGTCCCTTCCACACGACTTCGTGAAGGTTTGCCACCCATCGTCAAGCTTCCAGGGTCTTCACGCCGACGTTTCACCACGACAACGTCAATCCGAAGAACCCAAAGTCAACCGACTTATCAGTTTGCGCAATGAACTGTTGCCACCAGCGTTTCAGAACTCACTGGCTTTCGGCGAACCGCTGTTTGTCTTGAAACACCTTATCATAGTGAACCACATGTTCGATTGCCATCTCGGAGGAACATGATGCGATCGGTCCCAGTCCTTGGAATTCCAAAGAGGCTAAGTTACCATACCGGTACAGGTGCCTGACGATCGACACTGTACGTCACCTGCAGGGCAGTGCATCCTAGCCGACCAACAACCTTGGATGATCTGGGACTCGCAGTTTCACAACACTTCGGGGCTTACACAGTGCATCTGGAGAGAGGCCCTGCATCACGACTTGTCCATCTCGTAGGTTTGTGCCAAAGACCGTGTGCTGTGCGATCTACCGACGTCACGTGCGCACTGTGAGATTCTGGACCGCAGATTCCAGGCCACCCACGCACCACGCCCGGGTCGTTGCTTCCGATGCCGAACCGTGCCCACGATCCAGAACTGTCGGAGCGAGTGGAGATCATTACGTGTACTCGCGACCTCGCGACGAGCTATAATATCGCAACCTCGTCTTTATTCCCAGCCCGAGGAATTTCAGAACGACAAAGAATGGCAAACGTAGACACATGTCATGCCCAGCTGTTGGGAGATGAAGTTTGACACACCGGGCGCAGAGCGCATGCGTTAGGCTGCGCAAGACCAGCAGCGCTTATGCAGGAACCTCCTTCCTATCGATAGGCTATATCGATAGCGCAGGGCTGGTTGACAGTCGCCTCGACTCGTATTGGATGCATGTTAGTGTGCCAGCGAATGAGGTGCCTCACCGTGGAGAATCGGTTCTCTTGTTGCTGGCACAAAATTGGGGAGGCAGATCTCGAGCGCAATGTCTTCAGGCGCATACGATGGGAGTTCTCGTTGTGATTGTGTGACGTCGGTGGGAGCGTCACAGCTGCGTTATCTGTTTATCGGCAAGCAGAAGAAAACAAAGACGTTCGGAGCCCGATAGAGGGAGGGATATGTCGGTAATTATGACAAGGACCAGCCTGGCGGAGCGCTTTCGCGTGCGTACCACGTTGTCGTTGTGGTTGACGTGGGTGTAAGGTCACCGTTGATGCGGCCCGACACCTTGTCCATGAACACCGGAAATAATCTTATCGTGACTTGTAATTGTGTCGACGCTTCAGAATGCTGCGAACATAACAATGGATAATAGAGGTGTGCTGAGCTGAGCTGAAGCGCATGAGCAAGGGAGCCGGCTGAGTACGAGGTCGCGCGCGGAGGGCCTGCCGTGCCACATCGGTTGGTATTTTTGCATCGGACCGCCTCAGTGTTGACTCGTCGATACGAGAAAGCCTCGTCAGCATCGCATACGCCCTCTCGGCATACCTCCAGTCCTGAGCCCCTTTGGGTCGCGAACCCGAACACGGTTAACGCTCAACAAACAGGACGATGGTCGCCGGGATGAGGGCCTCGTCATCGCTCGATAGAACTGGTCAGACTCCCGCAGAGGCGATCACACTTTCGGAAATGAGAGCGTCTGCGTCTAGAATACTCGATCAACCCGCGCGGTCTTTGCGCCCGGCCCCACCCCTTGGGATTCCGCGAGTACCAAGACGTGTGAAGGATCTGTGGTCCTGTCACTATGTGGAGACCAACGCACACCATACAGCGAACGTCGATAACATTCACGTGGGCGACATGTCTGACAGGATGACTTTATGTCTATCGATAGAGCAGCTTGCAGACGCAAAAAGCAGATCTGACACCGAAACCGACGCAAACGGTATACGGCCCCTGCTGGCATGCGTCGGTGAGCGGGTGTACCTGAATGTGGCGGCTACGTGAAACGCACGGCGCCATGCGGTAGCTAATCAAGACGGACCACGACCTTAGCGGCTCAGGCCTCTTCTGAGCTGTGAATGGCCAAGTAGGTTATTTCCACCTGAACCCCTGGCTTACCCGCTTGCGCAGAGCCTGAAGGTGTGAAAGGTTCTAGCCAGGCGCATGTGCGAAAGGATCGAGCGCCCGGATTCCCCGCGAAAAATATATCAAGTTGAAAATCACCCGCCCTCCCCGTTCTTTTTGTCACATCCTGATCCTCAGACTCACACCAAACACGGTCGTTGCCTGTCCACTCCTTTGAGCATTTCTGCTCGGTACATTCTCTTGTCGCTCTCTGACTACCACGTTCATTGTTCGACTGTCCAACGATTTCGCGCTCAGGTTAGCCGCATCTGCTTTTACTCATCGATACCCTACAAGCAAAGCGTAACGCACATCCTTAACCTGCAATCTACACCGAACATCGACATGTCTGCCTCTGTCAAGTTTACCGGCCTTTTGGCCCTCGCCTCCGCTGTTGCGGCTGTTCCCCACTACCAGCACGAAAAGTTCCACCACAGGGCTGCTTACCCTGTCAACGGATGGGGTAACTCAAACACCACTGCCATGGCTCAGGCTACCGGTACTGGTGCCTACCCTGGTGAACAAACTACCACCATCGACACCACTTCGACCTCGACCTACACTCAGTACGAGACCGTCTACCAGAAGCCTTCCGGTCTTGCTGGAGGCAACAAGCAGGTCGAGGCTGCCGATGCCTCCACTGGTGTCTGTGGCGCAACTGTCACTGTGACTGCTTCCGAGAAGGTCACTGTCACCGTCACTCCCGGAGGCGGTGCTGCTGTCCCCACCTCATCTGCCGCTGGTACTGGATACGGAGTCCCTTCTTCAGTCATGCCCGTCGCTGAGTCAAGCTCCACGGCCGCTGAGTACCCTGCCGCTCCTCCTGCTGACAAGCCCACTTCCTCCGCTGCTCAGAGCACCGTCGAGACTCCCGTAGCTGAGGCCACCACCTCTCCCGCTGCCGAGTACCCCGCCGCTCCTCCTGCTGCTTCGTCTTCCAAGGCTGAGTACCCTGCCGTTCCTGAGGCCCCCACCTCCAAGACTCCCGAGATCACCGCATCCGCTCCCCAGAAGCCCGTCGAGTCGGCCACCTCGGTCGCTTCTTCCGCTGCTCCTTCCCCCACTGCTGGCAACAGCTACAGCGGCGTCAAGCGCGGTCTCGCCTACAACGAGGCTCACCTCTGCACCACCTTCGGCAGCAAGTTCGGTTTCGGTTACAACTGGGGACAGGTTGAGAGCAACGACATCGGCACCTCCTTCGTCCCCATGATGCACGGTCCCAGCAAGTCTTCCGCCGACGAGTGGCTCGCCAACGTCGACACGGCCGTCAAGAAGGGTTCCACCGCCGTC